TTTTTATAAAATTAATAATTTTAATAATAAAAAATAAAAATATTTTAAAAAATATACTTATTTGTTTTTAAACATGTCCTTATTAGTCATTTAATATTAAACAACAACCGCTAACTATTGTATAACCAAACAGTTATATTTATCGAATCCACTATTTACCATTCACTACCCACTTTTCGTTATCTGCCACCCGCTATCCGCTAACCGTCACCCGCTACCCGCTACCGCTATCCGTTATTCGCTACCCGCTATCCGCTATCCGCTAAATTTTAACAACTGTATCAAACAGGACCTTGATCTTATATAAATTTTCAGTTCCTTTAAAAGAGTTAATCCAATTGCATTGCATGGATATGGGTTATGTTCAGAGTGGGCGGTTACCATCCTGAGACTGAGAAATGAGATTGACATGAACATGTGTGGAAACAATTAAAGGCTAAACCTACCAAACATGACCCAGATACTTTGAGTAGGCCAAATGGGTGTATTTCAGCGTCAAAAGTTTGACGATGGTGCCGTTGGTTTCCGTCAAAAAATAAATGCTACCTCTAACTTTGGGAGGATATTCACGAAGAAGGACAAGATTTTTGACACAGACACCTCATTTGATTTGATGTCCAATATTTTAGGCCATATTATGTGGTTCTGAGTTCTTGACCCATTCTTCTATAGCCTCATTACATTACATTTAGGAATTTTCACATTCATTTGTCTTTCCTCTCCATTTCCTTAATTAACCATGACCGTCCTTGATTGGTTGAAAATCTAAATTTTCAAAACAAGAATATTTTAAAAGATGATAATTCAAAGCCCCAATAAATTTCAAATTTAAATGAGTATTGTCGTTTACTATTAAATAGTAATAATATATAGTTTTAATTTTGTTTGTAGCCCTGAAAGCAACTTGTTAGTTAGAATATTACTTCAAAGTCTTTTTTGTTATTTCTAATTAAAGGAGAAATAATAGGGGGATGAAATTCGTAATCTTCTCTCTTTTAAGAATATTCCTTTAAATAAAAAAAAATTCAACTGCCATTAACTGTAACTTAACATTTTTTTTATGTTTAACTGTAACTTAACATTATTTATTATTTCATTGGCGTAATTTATTTTCTGGTCCTGCTAGTAAACATTCCCGAAAGCCTATACAGCTATCAAGCCCAATTTGGTGTGGCTCAACCCTTATTACTATATTTTTTTGAATGTGAAATATATAATGGAAAAGTAATTTGCGGTTTATAGAGTAGATAGCACATTTTATTACTATTTGTGAGGGATGGATTTTATGAATTTGAGGTGATTCTCCTTCTGCAAATGATCATTATTTTATAAGTTAATACAAATTAGACTGTAAAATTACTGTTTTAATACACAATATATCTTAATAAGTTAAATCTAAAATAAAAAATAAAAAAATAATTCAATAGATGAATACCTAATTCACAATAGATGAATGATCATAATTCAAGATTTATACTATTAAA